GCAGGCAACTCGATGGCACATAACAACAACAACAACCACAACCATTAGCACTACAGATAAAACAAAACAACTTCTTTTCTTTTAACAGACCACTTTAAACTCATTAGTTTGATAGTTTGGTGAGGGTATTTTTGTGTGTTTTTTTTCCCTCCTTGGTTTATTTCAAATTAAATAAATGGGGTTTTCTTTGCATCTCCAGGTTTCATTACCTGACTTCTTACTCTCTTAACTCATCTATGTATAAAGGATGAACGGATTTGTAATATGTTAGTAATGAAAGTCTTTCTGAAATATCATGTAAGTAACAGGATTTTCTTTTTTTCTCTTCTACCTGAATCTATTAAAAATCAAGGACAAAATGTTACAATTTTATCTTGTCACATTTTGCAGTCTCTAAATTTGTGTTGACTTTATTCTTGAATTAGGTATATTAAAATAATCTTATCATGTAATATCAAAGAGCTGTATCATCTGTCTTTAAAATACTTTGTATTTTACTTTATCTCCCTAAGTGGTTATAAAACATGAATTGCTATAAGGAGAATATGAGAGGCAAAGTAGAAAGAACTTAATTTTGACCACATGTTGTGGTGAAGTAAGGTATCAGTGATGAATTTATCAGTCTCACTGAGATAAGTTTCACTGAGAGTGGACAGCTGTCAATCTCATTTCCTGAGTGGGACGTTGTGGGATATTCTACAATTTACTTTACAGCCAATGGCATTAAACTATTCTGATATGAACAGTATTTAGATTTTAATCGAAGTAATGCTGTAGATCTTTTCTACTTCCCAATAAATTGGCAATAGAAGAATATTTAAAAGAAATGGTTAATTCATTTGGACACACTGGTAGAGTTTAGGTTTCTGTAAATAAGAACGAAACATTATAATATTTTTTAAAATATCCAATTGTTGCCTTCAGTGAGAAGACTTTAACTACATAAGTATAATCAAAGTCCTTAGTGACTCTTCTAATATCTCTGTAGTGTTCTCACTTTCCTTCCAATAACTTTCTTACTTCTCTGTGGTCTAGCAGTAAGAAGCTGCACTGCAATCTTAAAACTATGTTATTTATATTCACCAGCTGATTTACTGGAGAAAGATGGGCAATCTCGTCCTGTGCAATTAAGTGCCTTTGAAAACCCACTGAAAAGCCAGCTATGGGTCAGTACTGACTTGATGATACCCAATGACAGTAAATATATACCCATATTGGTAACCAGTTTTGTTACCGACACAAACACATGTCATTCAAATCCACCAGCTATTCTCTAGAAAACAAACCAAGAGTAATTTACTCCAATGCAATTGAATGCCTCTAAAAACCCACTGAGGGCCAATTAGGAGTCAGTTCTGATTCAAAAGGGCACCACAAGACTAGTCAATATGCTTACAGACAAATATATACATAAATAAATAAGATCTACTTAGACATTATATATCTAACATGTAGTTGTTGTTGCTGTTGTTATGTGCTTTCAAGTTGCCTGTGACTCATAGCAACCCTATGTATAATAGCTCTGAAACCTACCCTGTCCTGAGCCAGTCTCACTGACTCTGATACACCTAACCCCATTGTCCTAGTTACTATATCAATC